GCTTGTGTGTTCCGATCCATTAAGATCCAAACGCTGCTGATTCTGATGCTCTGAGATACGATTTATTATATTCTGAGCAGTTACACCATAATGGATCAAGGAAATGCTTATCTATTCTCTTAAGATGGTTAAAGTCGATTTTACAATACTGCGATTTTCCGTGGATTTTGGGGTACTGCTTGTGTGTTCCGATCCATTAAGATCCAAACGCTGCTGATTCTGATGCTCCGAGATACGATTTATTGTATTCTGAGCAGTTTAGACCATTATTGATCCTGTAATTCCTTATCTATTCTTTTAAGAAGCTGAAAATCAATTCTACAATACTGTGATTTCCCGTGGATTTTGGGGTACTGCTTGTGTGATCCGATCCATTAAGATCCAAACGCTGCTGATTCTGATGCTCCGAGATACGATTTATTGTATTCTGAGCAGTTTAGACCATTATTGATCCTGGAATTCCTTATCTATTCTTTTAAGATGCTGAAAATAGATTTTATAATACTGTGATTTTCCGTGGATTTTGGAGTACTGCTTGGATCCAAACGCTGCTGATTCTGATGCTCCGAGATACGATTTATTGTATTCTGAGCAGTTACACCATAATGGATCATAGAAATGCTTATCTATTCTCTTAAGATGGCTAAAGTCGATTTTACAATACTGCGATTTCCCGTGGATTTTGGGGTACTGCTTGTGTGTTCCGATCCATTAAGATCCAAACGCTGCTGATTCTGATCCTCCGAGATACGATTTATTGTATTCTGAGCAGTTTAGACCATTATTGATCCTGTAATTCCTTATCTATTCTTTTAAGATGCTGAAAATCAATTTTGCATTACTGCGATTTCCCGTGGATTTTGGGGTACTGCTTGTGTGTTCCGATCCATTAAGATCCAATCGCTGCTGATTCTGATGCTCTAAGATACGATTTATTATATTCTGAGTGTTACACCATAATGGATTCTAGAAATGTTTGTCTATTCTCTTAAGATGGCTAAAATCGATTTTACAACACTGCCAATTCCGGTGGATTTTGGGGTACTGCTTCTGTGTTTCGATTGATTAAGGTCCAAACGGTGCTGATTCTGATCCTCCGAGATACGATTTATTATATTCTGAGCAGTTTATACCATTATGGATCCTAGAATTCCTTATCTATTCTTTTAAGATGCTGAAAATCAATTTTGCATTACTGCGATTTCCCGTGGATTTTGGGGTACTGCTTGTGTGATCCGATCCATTAAGATCCAAACGCTGCTGATTCTGATCCTCCGAGATACGATTTATTAAATTCTGAGCAGTTTAGACCATTATGGATCCTAGAATTCCTTATCTATTCTTTTAAGATGCTGAAAATCAATTTTGCAATACTGCGAATTCCGGTGGGTTTTGGGGTACTGCTTCTGTGTTCCGATCCATTAAGATCCAAACGCTGCTGATTCTGATCCTCCGAGTTGCGATTTATTATATTCTGAGCAGTTTAGACCATAAAGGTTTCGGCTCTTCACATGTTACCTGCCTTTATGTAAGGTCCCTACTCAGTGGAAGACCCTCAAGATCGTGTTATTGTTGAGGAAGGGTGACCTACACGATATCGGCAACCGTCGCCCAATCTGCTTACTGTCTGTCGTCTATAAACTTTTCACTCGAGTCATCCTAAACAGGATTTGTAGAGCAGTAGATAAATGAGAGCCATGTGAGCGAGCAGGGTTTCGAAGAGGATTTAATACAATGGACCACATCCAGAAGGTAACAAGGCTCACTGAAGTATCGCGAATGTACAAAATACCGCTCTGTCTCACTTTCATCGATTTAGAGGAGGCCTTTGATTCAATTCAGATAGAAGCAGTCATGGAAGCTCTTGACAGTCAAGAGTCCCTACTCAGTACACAAAGACTCTTCGTGAGCTGTACAATAATTTCACAGCCAAGATGTCACCATTCTACAACGTGAAAGGAGGAATTAGGCAAGGCGATACCATCTCGCCAAAATTATTTACCGCCACCCTCGAGAACGTCATTTGCACACTGGGATGGAATAATCCCTTGCCAATGACATCGTTCTTATAATAACAAAAAGCCAAGCGGAACGAATGCCTGTCGACTTTGGTAACGCCTGTGGAAAAATTTGGCCTTCGACTAAATCTCACAAAAACAATGTTCATGAAGAAGGGATTAGTTTCGCATGCTCCATTCACGCTCAATGGAATGAATCTCTCCGCATGCTCCAGTTACGTCTGTCTAGGTCGGGAAATCAACATGATAAACGACTTAGCTCCAGAAATGATCAGGAGGAAGCGAGTGGCTTAGGGTGCTTTCAAGAGCATCGATAATGTAGTGAAGAGAACAAAGAACACCCGACTTTGTGCCCACCTTTCGACTGCACGATACTTCCTGCCGTAACTTATGAGTTGGAAACCTGGTCGCTGCGTAAGCAGGATGGAAGATCATTCAGCATTATCGAACGCGCAGTCGACAGGACGATGCTATGAGTATCCTGTGTCACACATGTGAGGGAAGCGAGCAGAAGCTACGACCTGTGTCAACAAAGAAAAATTGGTGTTACTGTTCTAAACGCCAAACTGTTGGTCATCAGGTGGGCGAGACACGTAATGCGTATGAATGACAACCGATGGACAAGAGCCGCTAGTGACTGAAATCCTTAGCATGTCAAATGTACTGCAAGTGGACCATTGACTCGATGGCCAGAGTTTTTCACGAAAAGCCTAAAAGAAAGTCCTAAAATAGCACTGTCTTCAGCTATATGACAGTTGAAGCGCAAGCCGCTATCGCCTCTTCCGTGGCAAGACGTTGATTTTTAGATGACGCTTTTCCTCATATTTCGTTTGCCCATTATCGAAAAAAAGATAAAGAAAACGTGGAGAATTTTTCAAATTTCAGGCTGACTGGCACGCAGTCAATTTCCCGACAGAAACCTGCTACCAACGGAACACATGGCCCAGCTCTAGTCCGTGCTGCATTCGTCCCAGCTCATTTCTGCATTCCCTCTTGCCTCTTGTCGCTCCAACTCATCATTTCATTCCTACATGACGTGATGTCACATTTCTCGCGCTTCCGTTTTCTTCTTGCGCCTTATCCGTTCCTTCAGATCATTTTCTCTCGTCATCCTCTTCCGAACACGGCATGATCGATCGCTGCGAGCCGCACGTGGCCCGCTGGCGACCGCCCACCCGTCACGACCCGGTCATCTCCTCTCACACTTTGCTCATCCTTTCTTCCCACTTGATAATGTAGGTTGTCATTTTTCTCCGCTTTTCATTCCAACTGTTCTTACTTTCGTTCATTTTCACTTTGCGATCTCTTCATTTATTTCATCTACCTCCTCAATTGCTTCTCTTTCCGCTCCATGATTGCTGTCCATTTCGTTCACTACCAATAAAAAGCAACTGGTGTTGACAGTGGTGATAAAATTGTGCTATAAACCGGCCACAAACATTTGTATTTGCTTCCCTTTCTAACGCTTCATTTTCACCTGCCCCCTATATCCGTTTTGCCGCAATTTTTTTATCTTTGTGTTTCCCAGGTCTTCACCTAAAAGAGTTTTGTTTTGTTAGTCAGTTCTTTTTTCCGAGATCTTAGCAAGAAATCCAACCGGTCGTTTTAGATGAGCACCTGCTGATTGGTGCTTTGAAGGAAAAAGGTGATTTCCAATAATTCTCTTGTAATATTCATATTTTAACAGTTCGTTCTGAGGTGAAGCCGTTCTGCTAGTAGAAGGTGAACCGGCTTTCTCCGAATGTTTTCCAGTTCTATTTTTCGTTGATATTACAATGTGCTATTGTTGCTGGACGGGTGGATCTGTGAGTGTGTGAATCTTAAGTTGGTGAACATTCCAACAGGAGAGCAGCAGTACGACGATCACCTTGGTCTTCTGGGCGGATCCCGAGTACTCCCCCATCGATTTCCACGGTGGCTGACTTCTGTAATCCTTTTGTTTTGTTGTTTTCCCCGATTGTTTTCATTGGCGATGACGTGCGTCGTAATTGTTTACATTGCACTATGACGTCATGGAAAACACGTAGCCAATTTCCCGAATCATTCGATTTTCCGAAAATTTCGCTCTTCTCTTTACACGTCATCCAAGAGATTCCTAATTTATTCAATTCATAGATTGTTGTCTAAAACGTAAGAAAACGTGGCGAAACGGAGCAGTGGACCACGAGTTTTCTCTGAGACCTTTGTTTACAGCTACCTACTCAAATGGGTCCGATTGTAAAAACATAAATGCTTGGGAGAGATTTGATAGCAGGTTTAAAGACTTAAGTTTTACTGAGTTTTGCTGTCACTTCCACCAGTTCGGTTATTTGTGTCGTGATTTTCAAGACCTTATTTGCTTGTGTCGATCTAACTCTCATTACTTTCATATTTAATTTAGAATCAAGACAGCTCTGGACCTGAATGCGATGCACACCATCTAGCCCACTGACTGTTTGTATGAGTAGCAGCCAATTTCCCTTTCACATTCATCACATAGCTGTCCTATAGCTATTCATTCCCGTTTGATTATTGATTAAATATCTCGATTTCGCGTTTCCATAGTCCCTGATTTCAGGAACTAGCTCCTGCAATGTCAAGAGATAGCTTCCCTAACTTTGGTACCGCTGCCATTCATGTTGGTCAAGAACCGGAACAGTGGGACATGAATCAGGTATGTTCGATTCGTTTTTATTCGGTTTTTGGGCTACTTTTTTTTCCAAGAAACCAGGTAAATTTCTCCAGACCATGGGTTTATGGATTTCATTGTTCCTATACAGGATTCGAAACCCACAAATGTAGACCCATAAACTCACAAGCCGTGACTTCTTTTTCTGGCGAGCGGTTCGTTTCCTCGCCATCTTGGTGTCTCCACAGTTTATTGTCATCTCCCTTATCAGTATGATGCGGAAACAAGGTACCGCCGTCTCGTCGTTTTGAGAAACGTCTTCATTTCGTCGCCGACGAGCTTCTCGTGATGTTCTAAGAGCAGTTCTGTCTTGTAAAAAATCTTATCAGGTTGTTTATCAAGACTGGAAATGGTTTCTTGTGATGATTGGTTGGCCATTATTTTAACTCGTATATGGTAACTCCTTTAACTTTAAAGGAATGACTTCAGGTAGTGGCTCCTATTTCTCTTTCTACTACATACAAACAAGACCGACCAGGAGAACCGAAAGGGCATGATTATTCAAGAGCTGGCAATCCATCAAGGGATGTCTTACAGAAGTGCTTAGCTTCTCTTGAAGATGGAAAGTACTGTGAGTTCAGTTAAGAAAGTAAGGGCAGTTGTTCTATGGATACATTACGTTGTTGCCAACTTCTCAGAACGTCTCAGGTCATGTGTTTTCATCTGGCCTCGCCTCTTCCATGGCTATTATAAACTTGCTTCGAGCTGGAGACCATATCATTTGTTCCGATGATGTTTATGGAGGTACACAAATACTTCTATTTACCAGTCTCATTTTTGAACTTGATATTTGACTCAGTAAATGTGGATGCAAGCTGAACAGTCGTTTTCAGTAAATGGCCTCGTCAATGTGACTCATCGTTCAGGGTCTATTTGTCATGTTTAGCAAAAATAAGGTTTTCTGAAACAGAGAGCTTTAAGAAGCTCGTTTAATCAAATGATTCTGTCGAGGTAAAACATATTTGCTAATCACGATGGTCACTGATTGGTGCACACTTTATGGGCGAAGTGGTCCATGCGCGTTAATCTCACTGCATGCCCTTTTCGATGGTTTGTTTTTCCACACAGAGGTTTTCCCTTGCTTTTCTGTGTGATCAAAGGAGAGAGGGAGGCGTGTAGTGCAGTGGTTAGAGGTGGCATACAATACACACACGATTGCTGATCAAATAACTCACCATGCTCATTCAATAGTGCCAGGTTTGCCTGTGAGGTTAATCACACTGTCTTCATACATCGGTTGGCCACCGTTAATCACTGATTAAGCTAAGTATACATTCATCTCCACAATGTTTGATAAAGTCAAATGCATGGCGTATGCCACAGAGATTGATCAACGCCTAAGGTTTCAGCCGTTATCATTTATCCGATTGACAACTTAACCAACTAAAGCGTCAAAAACCTGGTCGATACGTAACCGGGATGAAAAATCACTCAGCGTTATTGAACGCGCAGTCGAAAGGACGATGCTTGGAGTATCCCGTGTCACGCAACTAAGGGAAGAGATCCGAACCTCTGATTTGCGTCAACGATCAAAAATCAAAGATGCCGTTCTTTACTCTAAACAGTTGAAGGTGGGCTGGGCATGTAATGCGTATGAACGACAACACATAGACAAGAGCCGTTAGTGACTGGATTCCTCGAGATGTTAAACGCACTGCAGGAAGGCCATCGACTCGATGGTCAGAGTTCTTCACGAAAAGCCCTCGAAGAAAGATATGATGCTCTACGAGTTCCTAAAGCAAGCAGAACCCATTGGACTACTCTTGAACGCAAAAGGGAAAAATGGAAGATTTGCTGATGCCCCCTCTAGTCACTCGGCGATCAACGGGACTACAGTTTATACCGGTTATACTGAAGCCAAGGGTGAGCGTGTGGCGCAGTTGTCGGATGCGCCGTGCAATACACATAGGATCGATCCCCGCGCAAGTGGCTCACCAAGTCTTTCATCCTTCCAGGGTCGGAAAATTGATACCAGACCTGTCTGGGAGGATAGCAGCACTGTCTCGATATCCAAACGCTTAATGAAGTCGAATGCACAGCGCATCTTTAGAGGATTGATCAGCGCCGAGAGCTTTATCCTTCATCTTTCATGTTGAAATCGATTGACCACTAATGAATACATTATTAAGAGGAACTGGAGCATTGCCGTTCTAACAGCGCTCCATTATGAAGTCGTTGAATTGGTTGGAAATTTGTTTACAGAGCTTCCAAAAGTTTTGCTATGCGTTTTTACTGGATTTAAAAATAGTTAATATGGTGATGGGTAGCAGACTGGATCTCTTCTTCCATATTTTTTCAGTCTTGTATGTTTGTTTTTATCTCATACGGGACGCTATGGCTGACTTTATTTTAGGCACACAGCGATTTATTCGTCGTGTATCGGTTGTAAATCATGGACTACAAGCTGATTTTGTTGATCTAACCGATATTGCTCGTCTCGAAGAAGCCTTCAAACCGAATACAAAGGCAAGTGTTCCATAAATCCAATGAATATCAGGTATAGGTTATCAAGTAATCCGTTCATGCTTGACAATGTCCACATGCTTATTTTATAACCTATTTGGTTTCTATGAGAACACGTAGTGCAACGAGCACCGAGTTACATGATGGTATTTTGTACCTTTTTTCAGATGGTTTGGTTTGAAACGCCTTCCAATCCGCTTTTGAAGGTGGTCGATATCGCTGTAGTAGTGCATTGTGTTAAAAGGGTCAATTCAAACATCTTAGTCGTGGTGGACAATACGTTCATGAGTCCTTATTTCCAGGTTTGCCATTAACATGGAAGATTTTACGCGTGTTTTTGAAAATATTCATTGTACTGCTCGTGAAACGGTGGACACGCATGGTGTGGTGGTGAATGCGGTAGCTCCCGGAAAGGGTAATAGTACGTTCGTTCCCCACCATAGACACCTGCGGTCCGTGGTTTTGCAAGTATCTCAGCATCATTATGGTTGTATTCATAGTACTCTTTGTTCATTCATACATAGTTTGTGGTATTTAGCGACCGTTGTCAATGGGTGTCGACATTGTTATTCATTCGATTACAAAGTACATAAACGGACATTCTGACGTAGTGATGGGTGCTGTTATCACTGACAACGATGATATTCAGCAGCATTTGTTTTTCCAACAACTTGGTGAGGCAGTTTTTCCACCAACCAAATTCATAGCTTCCCTTCCCAGAAATGCTATGTCTATTTTTCAGCTGTTGGCGCCGTGCCGTCTCCTTTCGACTGTTTCCTGGTGAATCGAGGGCTCAAGACGCTGCACGTCAGAATGCGAGCTCACTACGAGAATGCTCTAGCAGTGGCTCAATATCTTGAAAACAATGAGCGAGTGGAACGTGTGGGTTTTGGTTCAGGAATCAGTGCATTTTTAGAAAGTCTAGCGCTCTACTCGTATTTTCTTACGAAACTGTTAAGTGTGAAAATTTGGATTTTGAAACAAAAAACACCTAGCTAGTAGCGGTTGTAATATTTTCCTGTTCAATACGTTGCATACATTGTCTGAAAGCTCTTTGCTTCCTCCATCCTTTTACTGCCTCTTACTGCTTTCAATTTTTCGTTGTACCAAGTTTGGAGCAGTATTTTATAGACGTAATTTGTCCCAAATTCTATGATTTTCATTACTCGATGGGTGTAACGACTTCTTGTAACAGTAGACGTAGATTTTATTAGCTTAGATGGATAAGAAAGGATAGAGCTCTCGGTCTTGATCAATTCCTGAGGGTGCGCCATGCATTCGACTTCACGAAGCATCGTTGGAGATTGCCGAATGCATATCTGACCTTCACTATGGCTCGCGGTGGCCCACCAATGTGTCGAGTCAGCAGTGATGCTATCCTCCCAGACAACTATGCTGCCAATTTGCTGACCCCAGAGGGATGGAAGAGTTGGTGGGCTAGTGGCGCAGAGATCGAACCCACGTGTGTTGTACTGCGCCTCCGACCAGTGTGCCCCACGCGCCCCTAGATTAGATGTGCAACATAAAATTCTACCAATTCTCGCTAACAGCTTTCAATTATGTCGTTGTAAAAACCAGTTCTGTGGTTTTCACTAGGTTTTTAGAGGTTTATTGTACGGTTTCTTGGTTGTTTGTTGTAGATGTGCTTATGGCGGAAAAGTTTGAGTCACTTCTGTAAAATATCAGTGTAAAATTAAGCTCCGAATTTTCTATTTGTAATAAGTTAGAAATGTTTTCAATATATGTGTTTTAAGAACTACTATCTTTAGGTGCTGTATCCTGCGTTGCCATCGCACCCACAGCACAAAATTCACAAGAGTCAAACAAAAGGAATGTCAGGAATGATGTCCTTCTACCTTAAAGGCGATTTAGAGGAAAGCCGTACGTTCCTTAGTAGCTTAAAGGTAATCAATCATTGTTTTTGTCCTGCATGTATGGTCTTCATACGGTATTATTTTTAAGATATTTACATTAGCTGAATCACTTGGCGGTTATGAATCTCTCGCTGAATTACCATCGATAATGACCCATGCTTCTGTACCTCCTGAAGTGAGAATTTATAAATCTTCATTCCTTTTTATGTGCAGTACCTGGATTGTTAAATAAGAACAAGCTTTAAGGAACGTAAAAAACTTCGTATAACTGACAATCTCATTCGGCTTTCAGTTGGAATAGAGGATTTGGATGATCTCATCGCAGATTTGGATCAGGCATTAAAAGCAGCAGTAAGTTTCAGTGGTTCGAAGTATAATAGAACTTTTGGCATTACGACCATTCTGTTTATTGGCCAGCATGTTATTTCTTTGAGCGCCAGTAAAGCATTTATTCATCTCCGTAGCAGTTTCCTAATGCCTTCCGTTCTTGCAGATTATACGCATTACCTTTTTCGTTTACGATCTTCTTGAAGAAGTCTGGTTGTTGGTTTGGTGAAAGGATAAAGCTCTCGGTGTTGATCAATCCCTTAGGCATTCGACTTCATTAACCATCCTTGGAAATGTTTGAAAGCATGTTTGGACTTTACAGTAACTCGCAGTGGCGCGTCGATGTGTCGACCCAGTGCTGCTATCCTCCCAGACAAGTTTGGTACCAATTTTCTGAACCCGGAAAGATGGAAGGCTTGATGTGACACGGGCGCGGAAATCGTCCCCATTTGTATTGCAAGGTGTCTCTGACCACTGTGCCACACGCGCCCATGCTGCATTGATAGTATAACTGATTTGCAGTTCTAATTCTGTGTAACGGTTTCTTGCTGAGTGCAGTACAGCAGTTGTTAAAATCTCTTACCGTACTGACCGTATTCTCGGCATTTTGGGATATACAGCGGTATCCATGACTTCCAGCGTCTGCGTAGATCCAATATTAGACTTGCTTTTCCGTATGTATGGAAAGAACTTCGTGCTCATCCTGTAGCTTCTAGGTTGAAGAGGTGAAAGCAAGATGCGCCTTGTAGACTGACCGGTTGATGTTCTTTATGATTTCCACCTCGGTACTTCTAAGCTCCATATGCTGCTTATTTATTTTTTAGCTCTGAAATTGCATAAGTTCATTTAACTAACTGTATATAGTTCTCGATATTCTTGTTGAGTAAACATGAGGTGTTACTCTATTCTTTATTCCGTTAAAGCTAACGTTTCGGCGAATTTCGCCTTCAGAGTCTGGAAGGGTATTTTGATAGGCAATTTACTAAGTCAAACGCTCCGATAACACATACAGAAACATTAAAATATAAATCGCAACCACACGACCAACAGCTTCTCAAAAAAACCCACTGTTTATTGCGTGCCTTTCACTGAGGAAGTATAGTTGATCAGAGTCGCATATGGTCGATAAATGCACCATCCTACATCAAAAGTCGATGCGAAGGTACTGGGCCAGATCACGTGTGTTCTCCGGGCATTCCTCCCTCCTGTTCATTCTAGGGTTCCTGGTATTTATCCAAAAGGCCTCTAGAAGTTTGTGCGTTGGTGTTTTGGCATCCTGTGCGGCGATACTGACTTTAATGTCAAAATTGTCTCCGCTATGTCTTTGTATCCTGTGCGTCCCTAGTGGGTACTTAGTCTTGCTTTTTGTTTGCTATCTAGGTGTTCTTTTATGCGGATACATAAAGGTCTACCCGTTTTGTCAATGTATTCATCTCCGCAAATACTACAAAAGATCAGGTATATCGTACCTGAACTCATTCAGTCATCCTTGCCATAAGGACAAATTACGCAACTTTGTGTTTCGCATAGACGGTCATATAGTCAGTTACGAACTAATTGACCACGAAGGGAATCGGTTGGTATTTCAACTATGGCTACCGATTCCTCTAGACCTCCCCTTCTTAAGTATCATTTTATAGTTACACTTACTTCATCGCTAATGATGGGTAACATAAACGGGATTTTGTCTCGGTCACGTTTTTCCTTTTGGGGCGTCGCTCTCCTAGACTTATCTCGTGTGGTAACTAGCCAAGTTGCGCGATTCCTCTTTTAGTTCCTTCTTCGTGCATAGAGGTGGCTGTTCGAAACATGTTTCTTACAAGCGCCCTCTTTCTGTGTGAAGGGTGGGAGGAGAGGAAATGAACGAGGATGTTCTTGTTACTTGGTTTTCGGTACCATTTTGTCATATAACCGTTATCCGATAAGTTGATCGGAACGTTAAGAAATGGAATCCAATCTTCTTTTGGTTTCTCACGGGTATATCGAGCAAAAATGAGAATCAAGAGGTGGCGAGATTAACACCGTCTCCTTTCGACCTTAACATTGAAATCGATACATGGAGTTGACATAAAATTCCGCATGTTTTCGGACGATGTTCTCAAAACGCTTGTCCCCACTATAACGATAGAAATTATATCTCTAGCCTCACGGCTGCGCATAAATGTATGCGAGAAATTAGAGAATAAATTCGAGGACGAGTAGACTACCAGTTAGTGATAAAGGGGGAGAGTTCGTAGTTATTCCTCGGCAGTTAGATGTTAAGATAACGGGGCAACGTCTTAGTGATGTTACCCTTTATCGTCTATCGTCTGAAAAGGAATACAAAAGACAATACCGAAAACTTAACAATGAATGGGTCTTAATAGCAAAGGCAGTAGGCTTAAAACCTTCCGCTGTTTCGCATTTGAAAGCAGATCGACCAACATGTCCCATTTTATACTTACTCATTAAAACACATAAGCTAGTATCAGCTGATAATCTCGCGTCTACTAACCAACTCTCCTACAAGGTTAAACCCATTATCAGCTGTGTAAACGGGTCAACGGAAAGAATAATATGGTATCTAGGCCGAATACTTACCCAAATATTAGCCATATTCCTGCTCACCTCACAAGCACCCAGATGTTCCTAGAACGTCTACGTAGCGCGTCTCCTGATAAGGCGTACGTGATGGAGTCTTTCGACGTTACCGCACTGTACACCAACGTATCGAATGGCTCCGCAATGCAAGCCCTCCTTGAACTTCTTGCTGAATATGAAACAGGAATAAATATGCATGGCTTGTCCATTCAGTAGCTCATGGCTCTCTTAAACAGTGCCAGAACTGCTCGATTCTCAAACGGCTTGGGAAATGCCACACACAATTGAGAGGACTGGCAATGGGACTGCGACTGGGGCCAAGTCTTGCCATAGCATTTATGTCTAAAATAGAAACCCCCGTTATTGATCTCCTGCCGTTACTCTACTGTAGGTACATAGACGACTGTTTTGTCATCTTGTGTACTCAGAGGAGAAGATGGACAAATGCTTTGGATTGTTGAATGAACGGTATGAGTACATCAAATTTATCCATGAGAAACCAAAAGAAGATTGGTTTCCATTTCTTAACGTTCAGATCAACTTATCGGATTAATACCAGGAACCATAGAATGAACAGCAGGGAGGAATGCCCGGAGAACACGTGATCTGGCCCAGTACCCTCGCATCGACTTTTGATGTGGGATGGTGCATTTATCGACCATATGCGACTCTGATCAACTTTACTTACTCAGTGGAAGGCACGTAATAAACGGTGGATTTTTTCGAGAAGCTGTTGGTCGTGTGATTGCGGTTTAGATTTCCATCTTTCTATATGCGTTATCGGAGCGTTTAACTTTGTAAATTGCCTATCAAAATAGCCTTCCAGACTGAAGAAGGCGAAATCCGCAGGAACGTCAGCTTTAACGGAATAAAGAATAGAGTAACATCTCGTGTTTGCTCAAGAATATCGAGAACCATTTGATCACTGCTGAGGTTAATAGAAAGTCGGTCGTGGGAATAACTGTATATAGATTGAGCCATAGTTTTCGAGACTGTTTGTGCCTACTTCATTGTGCACCCCACGGTTCTTTTGATTTTTCATTCCCAAAATACCTTTCCTTATGGCAGGGAAGGCGTAAATGACCAAATTAGTACGCCATTGAGCGCTGAAGGAGGTTGTTTAGACGTTTGAGTAATGCATCAGATTTTAGAAGCGGAAAATTCTACAGCAACACATACCAATCTGACGCACTTGTCGTGAAGATTGGAGCAGAATTAGGTGACCAGCTACAGTCCCCTTCTGAATTGTTCCAATGGAAAGTTACAGAAGAATCGTATTTCCATCGTGTTTGTTGGAGCCCCGACGGGATGCCTTTTCACTGCTGCTATCTGATGTTGCTGTTGTTCTATTGCTAAGGTCTTCATATTGCTTCTTTGCCTAGTTTTGATACCTTGGACCGGGAAGATTAGCTTCAGGTTGGGATATATTTGGAGTATCGAGAGCCTTGACGTTTTAAAGTGCTTTGGAAACTATGCATCCTATTTCATTTGAACCTTTTCCACTAAAACAGTTCGACCGATCAGAGGAATCTCTAAGTGTAAGATTCATCAGTGCGCATACCCTATTCTATACGATAGTGGTTACTCCTTCTTTTTCTTAGTCCTACATTTATTTCGCCGTCCTTTGTTTATGGTTTGTTTTTAGGTGAAACTGTGATCACACCTCGAGTTATTTGCAAATGAAGTGGATCCGGTTCGTACTCCTCTTCTTTCTTTATCCTTCAAAAGTTTATATTACATTATTCGGTTAGATATTTCTGTTTGAACATTTCTTGCATCTGTTATAATCTTATATAGATTTTTGTATTACGTGCTTTTTTCCTGTGTGAGTACTAATTTTCAAGAGGTTTACTAAAATTGCTGAAATAATCGATTTTAAACTATTCGGAGATGTGGTTGTCTTCCTACCGGTGATGGATTTGTTTTTCTGTGCTCCTATGGGTCTTGTTAACCGTATTCTTTAGGACACTTCTAGGCCTTAGTCACTCAAATTCATGCTTAGTCAAAGTGTCAATAAGTTGTTGATTTAGTAATAGTCTAACAGAGATTTGAGATTTATAACCGACGACTAGCCGTCTCATATTTTTGTGAGATAAATTTTTAGAGCATTTAATCTGTTTCAGGCCGTCATATTCCAAGGTGTTGATCGAAGCCTGAAAACAACGTTAAATTTTGTTAAGGTTCTATGTCCTCCGAACGGTTTACCGCCTCATCGTGGATGAGAGGTGTTCCTGGGTGTCGGACTGCGATGTACACTGGTGGGGTTCATCCCTCTGAGGAGTCTCCCAAGCTGAGAAGGAGTCCGACGTTTCCATCAGGAAGCCCAGCTAAGTGTAAACCAATAGTAGGATCCGTTACCGACCCTGGTACCAAACTAGTCGCATGGTGACAAATCTCCCTCTCATCCACAACATCGGCGACTGCCGGTGGTGGTGACGATCTGGAACAGGCTTTGGCCTGGCTGACCTCGGGGCTTCAGGGAACCACAATAGCTAAACTAGCAAAACTGCAAAAAAAATGGAGATTATATTGAGGCCACACAATCGCTGAGGACAGGGCATCCAAGTTTCCAAGTAAATAGGATTCTATGTAAATAAATCAGAAGAAGGATATCAGTGGTTCTGTACAAGGAGCGGGTTCAATGGACAATTGAATGTTTTCACTTCGTGGTCAACGTTACCATTATTTAAAAGGTTCTGAACGTACAATGAACTTTGTTGT